TCTCTCTCTCTCTCTCTCTCTCTCTCTGTCTTTCTTTCTTTCTTTCTGAATCCTCGCCCGAGGACATTTTCCCGTTGATGTTTAGAGCGAGGGAAAGACAGAGAGATCGATGTGAGAGAGACACGTGGATCGCTCGGTGGGCTGCCCCGGCCGGTGTGGTGCCTGCCCCCTCAGGCCCGGGCCGGTTCCCCCAGAAGCGGGCGCCTGCGAGCAGCGGGCCATCTGCGTCCCTATAATCGGCGCCGTGATCAGCACCGTCTTCCAGGGTTCTCACCGCGTGGGAACAGCCTGCTAAAAATACCCCCCTTCTCCGAACGCCCCCGGACCATGTGTTTCCCGTCCCCGCTCCCCCTCCCCGCGGCCCGGGCGAGCTGGCAGCCGCTCCTTCCGCTGCCCGGCTGGCGGCCGGCTCGGTCCCGGTGGCCGAGGGAGGCGGAACGGCAGCCCAGCCGTGTGGCTCAGTGGTTGGGCACCATCCTGTGCATCAGGAGGAGGTCAGGGGGGCACACAGGAGGCGGCCCATTGGCATTTCATTCTCACACGGACGTTTCTCTCTCCTTCGCTCTCCCCTTCCTCCCTAAACATCAATAAAAAGTCCTTTAAAAAAAAATATATATATATTATTGATTTTTTACAGAGAGGAAGGGAGAGGGAGAGAGAGTTAGAAATGGCGATGAGAGAGAAACATCCATCCGCTGCCTCCTGCACGCCCCTCACTGGGGATGTGCCCGCCACCAAGGTCCATGCCCTTGACCGGAATCGAACCCGGGACCCTTCCGTCCGCAGGCCGACGCTCCATCCACGGAGCCACACCGGTTTTGGCAATACAGAGTCTTAAAAAAGCAAAGAATCTCACCCTGACCGGTGTGGCTCCGTGGATAGGGCGTCGGCCTGCGGACGGAAGGGTCGCGGGTTCGATTCCGGTCAAGGGCATGGACCCTGGTTGCGGGCACATCCCCAGTGGGAGGTGTGCAGGAGGCGGCTGATCGATGATTTCCCCTCATCGCTGTTTCTAGCTCTCTCTCCCTCTCCCTTCCTCTCTGTAAAAAAAAAAAAAAAAAAAAAAAAAAAAAAAGAAAGAAAAGAAATCAATAAAAAACGTTAAAAAAAGAAGAGGAAAAAGAAAACACCTCTCACCTGGCTGGGATCTGCACGTGAGGGACCTGGGGGTTCCCTCCGGGAATGGGGCGCCCCCCCCCCCGCAGGGAGCAGACCAGAGCCGCCAGCCCCCTGAAGACCCCAGCCCTCTGCTGACCCACAGGCCTTCGCACACCTCCGGCCCGCTCCCCTGCAAGCTGCCCATCTGGCACCACCTTCTGCTACTTCCCCTGCCATCTTTGTGCTCCCGCCCCCATCAGCAGCCGGCCTATGGGGGCGAGGGGGGTGCAGAGCAGGTGTTGGTGGGTGCCCTGCAGCTCTCCTCCAGGAGTCAGGCTGGGTGGGGGGCCTCGGATGTTTGGCTCCCGGAAAAAAGGAGGAGGAGGAGGAGGAGGAGGAGGAGGCAGCTGCTCTGGGTTCTGGCTGGATGGAGCCTGTCTCCACAGGAGCTGCCGGCCGCCCCGGGCGCCCTCTGCCCTGCCCTGTCCTGGCAGCAGGCAGCAGCCTTATCAGATGCCCCCACCCCCAGGCCGGAGCCCGCCCGCCCGCCTGCCCGCTCCTCCGAGGGCCTGCCCGGGCCTGGGACACAGACCCCGGGGCTCCGGGGAGGGCAGAGAGGCGACCCCACTTCCCCGCACCCCCAGGTTAGTCCCATTTTTATTTTATTTTAAAAATATATTTTATTGAACTTTTCCAAGAGAGGAAAGGAGAGGCAGAGAGAGCTAGAAACATCGATGAGAGAGAAACACTGACCAGCCGCCTCTTGCACACCCCCCACCGGGGATGTGCCCGCAACCAAGGTGCATGCCCTTGACCGGAATCGAACCCGGGACCCTTCAGTCCGCAGGCCGACGCTCTGTCCATGGAGCCACACCGGCTTCGGCCTTCTTTTTCCTCTTTTTAAAGAACACCTTTCAGCACCATTTTCTTTTCTTTTTAATTTTTTAAAATTTTTATTGATTTCCGAGAAGAAGAGAGAGAAATGGCGTCCGGGGGGGAGGACGCCATTCCCAGCTCTCGGGCCAATATCAGCCCGGACAGGAACACGGCCCTGCGCTGTCTCAGTGCTCAGACCCCAGTGACAACGGGAATTACCCTCCTCCCGCCCCCTCTCCCGCCCCCTCCTCTCCGCTGCCCCAGTCTCCCCGGGGCTTCCCAGACTCGCCACGCCAGCTCCCTGTGGGGCCATGTCTGTGGTTTTTGTTCAGTATATGTTTACTGACGTCAGAGAGGGGGGGGGAGAGGGAGAGAGAGAGAGAAAGAGGGAGGGAGAGAGAGAGAGAGAGAGAGAGAGAGAGAGAGAGAGAGGAAGAGAAAGGGGAGAGGGGGGGGAGAGGGAGAGAGAGGGAGAGGGAGAGGGAGAGGGGGGGGAGAGGGAGAGGGAGAGAGAGGGAGAGAGAGAGGGAAACATCCATGAGGAGAGAGCATCTCGGATCGGCTGCCTCCTGCACACCCCACACAGGGGATGGAGCCCATCACCAGGGCCTGTGTCCTGGACCGGGAATCGAACCCTGCCCTCGGTGGTTTGAGCGTCAATCCAGGAACCAGGAGGTCACGGTTCGATTCCCGGTTCGGGGCACACGCCCTGGTGGCAGGCTGGACCCCCTGTGTGGGGCGTGCAGGAGGCCGCCCGTCCGTGATTCCCTCTCTCTCCGCTCCGAAACCCATCCATCGATCAATCCGTAAACAGATGCTCTGCTGGGCGCTCTGGCTTAGCGGGCTGAGTAGCCAGTGGTGCCAGGGCGCCCTCCGGCCCAGCCTGGCATCTCCGGCCGCCTGCCAGGGCTGCCCCGGACCGGGCCCGTGCCCGGCCAGCTGCCACACAGAGCCGCATTGTGGCCCTCGGCCTGGGGGCGGGCACGTGACGGTGCAGTGTGGGCGGTGGGCCTGCTGGGGTGCCCGCCACCTTCCTCCTGGGCAAGGCTCAGCATCCTTTTTTAAATTTTTTTTTATACTCTTTTTATTTTTTTTAAAAATTATATTTTATCACTGAGACGAAGGGAGAGGGATAGAGAGCCAGAAACATGGATGAGAGAGAAACACCGACCAGCTGCCTCCTGCATTTAGGCAGGCAGGCAGGCAGGTGAATGGTTAGGAGCCAGTGGATCCTGGGTTGCGAGAGGGATGTCCCAGATTGGAGAGGGTGCAGGCCGGGCTGAGGGACAACACGCCCTCCCCTGTGCATACCTTTTGTGCATCAGGCCTCTAGTTAAAAAATAAATAAATAAATAAATAAAGCCTTAACCTGTGTGGCTCAGTGGATAGAGCGTCGGCCTGCGGACTGAAGGGTCCCGGGTTCGATCCCGGTGAAGGGCATGGACCTTGGCTGCGGGCACATCCCCGGTGGGGGGTGTGCAGGAGGCAGCTGATCGATGATTCTTTCCCATCGATGTTTCTAACATTCTTTCCCTCTCCCTTCCTCTCTGTAAAAAATCAATAAAATAAAATAAAAAATATATTTTTTAAATAAAAAATAAATAGAAGAAGAACCCAGGGCTGCAGGGTCCGGTAAGGGACCGGCTGTGAAGTTGGGGGGTGGGCCCAGGCCCGGAGGGGAATGGCCAGGGCGGAGGGCGGAGGGCGGAGGGCGGAGGGCGGGCTGGCGCCTTGGAGTTAGTTGTCAAGGGCAAGTGGACGGGCTGGGAAGGCCGGGCGCAGCCTCTCCTCGGGCAGGAGGCTCGCCAGCCGCCGGGTGGCGCGCGGGGGGCGGGGTCCCCGCAGCTGGCACCGCGCGGAGCCTCTCCCCGGCCGGCCGGCCGCCCGCGGCGGGTGGGAGAGGGGCGGCCTGGAGGGGAAGCTGGCTGCGGGCCTGGGCCTGGGAGGAGGAGGAGGAGGAGGAGGAGGAGGAGGAGGAGGAGGAGGAGGAGGAGGAGGAGGAGGGAGAGAAAGCAGGAGGAAGGGGCCCGCGCCGCCCGCCCGCCCCTGCGCGCAAAGTTCAGCTCCGGCGCGCAACGGTCGCGCCCCCCACCCCGTGCGCCCCCCACGCGCCCAGGTGGCCCCGTCTACAGCTCGGGCACCCCCTCCGGCTCCGGGAGACCCGCCCCAGGTCCCCCGCCGCCCCGGGGCCAGGCGGGGAAGGGAACTCCCTCCCGGGGCCTCTCGCGCGCTCCCCGGAGCGGCCCCGCCCCAACCAACCGCCGCCCGGATCCAGCCCGGGACGCGCGCGCGCGGGACAAGGGCCGGAGCGCGGCGGGGACCCCATCGGCCTGAGTCACCCAAGACCCCTTCTGGGGTGGGTGGTGGGTGCGGCGGGAGTGGGTGCGCTCCCCGCACCCCAGCCCCGGCGGCGGACACGGCTCCCCGCGGTGCCAAACCGCGCGCTGCGGAGGGGGAAGGAGGCGCACCCACCCCTGCGCCCCTGGCGGGCGGGCGGGCGGGCGGGGCTGGCTGGACGGACAAAGGGGCACCCCCTCCCTCCTCTCCCCTCCCTCCCCAGCGGCTCGCCTCCCCCACACCGTGGGGGGAATTCGGGGGGTTCCAGGCCGTGATCGTACAAAAGGTCCGGCAGAAAAACACCCCGCGGGGTCCCCGAGGCCGGGGGAGGAGGAGGAGGAGGAGGACGAGGAGGGCGGGAGGGCCCCAGCTCTCCACCGCGCGCGCCCCTCCTCCGGCCGCGCCGGGGGGACACGCCCCTATGGGGCCGCGCGTCGGGGCCCGGGGCGGGGCCAGAGGCTCCCCTAGCGGCTCCCCGGATTGGCCGGGCTCGTTGGGACCCGCCCCTGAGCCTTTGGGCACGCCCCCCTGTCCCGGGGTGAGCGCGGGCTGCGCGCTCCCGGGTCCCCCGCCCCCTCTCCAGGCGCGCGCCCCGCTCCCCGCGGCCACCGCCTCCGCCGCCGCCGCCGCCGGGAACCTGCGCCCTGCGCCGCCGCCAGGATGTGGCTGGGGGCTGACGTCGGGCCCAGATGTGGCCCCGGCCCCGCCCCGCCCACCCCCGGGGGCCGGGCCGCCCACAACCGAGCCGCCGGGGAGGCGCGCACACGGCGCCGGTCCCGCCCGTCCACCCGCCACAATGCTTGGCGCCGCCGCCGTCCCTCCTAACGCCGTCCCCGCTCGGCTTCCCTAGGACAGGCCGCTCGAGGGGGCCCCCAACTCCTCCTGGACGCCCCCCTGAACCCTTCCGTGCGCCCCTCTCCATGCGCTCCCGCTCCGGGGCCCGGCCGGGCGGGTGACGGCGCAGGCGGCCCGGAGCCCCGCGCGCAGCCGGCGGCGGAGAGGGCAGCGCCCTCCGCACCCCCTGCACCCCGTCCCCTGCCCCCCTCGCTCTCCGGGAGGCTTTTGGGTGCGGATGAGCCTCTGATCACGACGAGGAGCCGAGGAGGAGCCGCCCGCAGCATGGCAGCCGCCGCCTACGTCGACCACTTCGCCGCCGAGTGCCTCGTGTCCATGTCCAGCCGCGCCGTGGTGCACGGGCCGCGCGCGGGGGCGCCGCCGGGGCCGGAGCCGGGCCCCGAGGGCGCGGTCCCCGCCGCCTCCACGTCCGTCTCCGCCGTCTCCGCCGCCGCCGAGGAGCCGCGCCGCGACGGCAAGGACCGCGCCTCGCTCTTCGTGGTGGCGCGCATCCTGGCGGACCTCAACCAGCAGCCGCCCGCGCCCCCCGGGACCGGGGAGGACCGCCGGGGGGACCGCCGCCGGGAGGGGGGCGCCGGGGCCGGGGCCCGCAAGGCGCGCACCCCGTGCCGCCTGCCGCCCGCCGCGCCCCCGGCCTCGCCCCCGGCCGCCCCGGCCTCCCCGGAGCGCGCCTGCCCCGCCGCGCCCCCGAGCCCCGCGTGGAGCGATCCCGAGGATCTTGGGGATCCCCAGGAGCCACAGGAGCCCCCGGAGCCCCGGGAGGCGGGTGTGGAGCCCCAGGAGCCCGGCCCCAGACAAAGGGGCCGGCGGGCCCGCAGCCGCGCCGACCCGGAGTCGCCGCCGCGGCGGCACAAGTGCCACTACGCGGGCTGCGAGAAGGTCTACGGCAAGTCCTCGCACCTCAAGGCGCACCTGAGGACGCACACAGGTCAGTTGGGGTCCCCCCTGCCCCCCCCCTACGCCCCCCTCCCCGCCTCCTGCCTCCCCCGGTGCCAGGCGCCGGGCCACGCCCCCCTGTGCCGCCGGCCGGGGCGCGCGCGCAAAGGCGCAGAGGGCACCAGGGGCCGGGGACACTCGGGGCCTCGTCCCTTCCCCCCCAACTCCGTCCTGGTCCTGCGGGCGGCACCCCCGCGCCCCCCGCGAGGAGGCAGGTCTCCGGCAGCGCCCGGAGCCGCCCGCGCCCGCTTTGGCGACCGCGCCCCCCGCCGGCCGGCCGGACACGCCCCCTTCCCCGGGCGCGCTCCGGAGGGCGGGCGCGCGGGCGGGCGGGGCCGCGGGGGCGGATGTCGTCATCCGGGTTGGGGGCGGGGACCCCGCCCTGACCCCGGGGGCCGGGGGGCAGGTGCGGGCGCGCTAGGCGGGGATCACGGGGTAGGGGGCCCCCCAAGGCCATCGGGGAGCCGCGGGGAAAGCGGGGTGGCCCTGGCTCCGGGTCCCTCCCTCCCTCCACCCTCCCTCGCCGGCCGGGCAGGGGCGCGCGCGCTGGGTGGGGATCGCGGGGGGAGGAGGAGGTTTTGGGGGCCCCCCAGGCCATCGGGGAGCTGGGAGGCCGTGGCACACGGGGGATCCGCGGGGAAAGCGGGGTGGCCCTGGCTCTGGGTCCCTCTCTCCCTCGCCGGCCGGGCCGGGGCGCGCGCTCGGGGCGGGGCCGGGCGCGGCGGGCGGAGTTCACGCGGGGACAGGGCTCCCTCCGGCGCCGCTCGGCACACACTCTCTGCGCTCCCCTTCCTGCCATTTCTCCGGCGCCCCGAGGTTTCATTTGTCCAAACCAGAGCTTCTGGGGGGGGGGTCCCCGATCCCCGTGCGTCCCCGGCTCCGGATTGGGGAGCCACGCCCATCCGGCCGGCGGGGGGCCCGCCCGGCCCCGGGGCTCCGATCCGGGAAGGAGGGGCCCGGCTCCGCGCTCGCTGTTGGCGCGGGACGGACGGATGGATGGATGGATGGATGGATGGATGGATGGATGGATGGATGGATGCGGGGCGCTGGGCACCTGCACGGGGATCGGGGGGTCGGGAGTTGGGGGCGTGCGCCCCGGGGCGCAGCCTGGGCGCCGGGGACCGCCGCGCGCCACCCCCTCTCTCCTCCCATCCCAGGGGCCCTCCACCTGGGAGTTGACTCCTCGGAGCTCTGAGATTGTTGGTTTTTTGTTTGTTTGTTTGTTTTTGTAAAACACAAAAAAAGTAGCAAAAAAAACCCAACAAAACAAAACAAAACAAAACAAAACAAAACAAAAACACACCCCTCCTTTCAGTGGATGAGAACCTCCCGGTGCCGGTTCGGTGGCCAGAACCGCCCGGTTCCTCCTCGGAGCGCCCGGGAGGGAACCCTCCGCGGACACTCACTTCCCTTCCTCCCTAATTTGGGGCAAATTCTGCACAAAAACAGAACAAAAACACCGCGTCCTGCTGCTGCTCTCTGGGTCCCAGCGGGTGGGCCTCCTCACGTACAGAATAGAGCCCCTCGGACGGCGGAAATGCTGGTTTACACGTTGCAGCGTTTAGACCCAGGGACCGGGAGGTCCGGGTTCGAGTCCGGGCCAGGGCGCAGGGTCCCCCGGGGTGTGGGCTGGGTCCCCCAGGGCGGGGCGTGCAGGAGGCGGCCGATGGGTGTTCCTCTCTCTCTCCCTCCCTTCCTCCCTCTGAAATCAACAACAACAACAACAACAATAATAATAATATTAAAATTGCGGCCTCCCCTCGGTTGCACCGGGTCCCAGGTCTGCAGGCGCCCAGGACCCGCGTCCCGGAGGCACCTGGCCCCCCCAAACCCTGTGGCCGTCCAGGGTGAAATGGGAGGCCATGACTAGGCCTTCGGGGTGTCCAGATTGGAGTGTGTGGGGTCCAGATTGGAGGGCGGGGGAACCTGGATCCCTGGAGGGAGAGGGTATTGGTTCTGCTTGGGGACCCCAGAGTCCTGGTGGGCGTGGCACCGAGGGTGGGGCGCAGCCCGCGCTTGGGGCGTGGCTGGGGTTAGGGACCTCTTTGTGGGGGTGGGTTCCCCCAGGCCATTCTCCCTCCGGCCTCCCAAGGGATGGGGATGGAGATTTGGGGAGGGGCTGGTGGAGGGCGGGGCGCGCTGTCGCAGGTGGAGCTGGGCGCTGGGGGTTGGGGGTGCGGAAGGCTTGGGTCTGGGGGTGACCTCAGGCTTTGCCGGGGGCCAGGTTTTGTGGGCCCTGAGTGCACAGCCCCCTTGGCTTAGAGGATTGGGGCAGGCGCTGGGAGCCAGGCTTGGGCGGATGGGGGGTGAGGGCGTGCCTGGAACCCCAAAGCTGGCCACAGGGGCTGGAACCGGCCGCCTGAGGTGATGCCTCCAGTTCCCCGGATTTTCTTTTCCTTTTTCAAAATATTTTTTATGGTTTTTCATTGATTTTTTTTTTTACAGGGAGGAAGAGAGAGGGATAGAGAGCTAGAAACATCGATGAGAGGGAAACATCGATCAGCTGCCTCCTGCACACTCCCTACCGGGGATGTGCCTGCAACCAAGGCACATGCCCCTGGCCGGAATCGAACCCGGGACCTTTCGGTCCGCAGGCCCACGCTCTGTCCACTGAGCCACACCGGCCAGGGCGAGTCATTGTTGACGTTATAGCTAGCGATCGCCCCGGGAAAACAAAACCAAGACACCGAGGTCTCAGTGATGGAGCGTCGACCTAGGAACCAGGAGGTCAGGGTTCGATTCCCTGGTCAGGGGCTCAGGCCCGGGTTGCGGGCTCCATCCCCAGCGTGGGGCGTGCAGGAGGAGGCAGCCGGTCCATGACTCTCTCTCGTCTGGGATGTTTCTCTCTCTCTCCCCCACTCCCTTCCTCTCTCTGAAGTCAATAAAGATATATATATTTTTTAAAAAAAAACCCAAGCATCTCCTTGCTGACGCCCATCCCAGCTCAGGGGGTCTGGCCAGCACGCTGGGCCACGGGGTGGACACGGCCGGCCACGCCTCCTGCACACCCCAGGCTCGGCCCGTGTCCCCCGCCGTGTCCCCCGCCGGGTGGTGGTGAGGGTGAGGGTGGGAAGCCCTCAGATTGCCTTCTCTCAGCCATTTCCTGTCAGGGCGTGGGCGGGGTTGGTCTGAAGTGCTGGCTCCCTGGGAACAGGGGTTCCATCCTGAGGGTGAGGGGGCCTCGGAGAGGCAGCCCAGCCCATGCAGGGTGACCCGCCGGGTTCTCTCTCCCCCCCACCCCCCTGGCCACCCCGGGGTGCCCGTGGGGCCGGTGGGGAAACCTCAGACAAATGCAGAAGTGTGCAGGCCGCGCGTGCGAGCCTGCCCCTCCCCCTCGGACCCGTGCCGCCCTCCTCCTTCGCACGCGTGTCCCGGGCGTGTGTGTGACCCTGGCCAACGCGTGTGTGTGTGTGTGTGTGTGTGTGGCCCGGCCGCTGTGATTTTCCTCCCGAGGATGTTGTCCCATTGACTTTAGGGGGAGCGGAAGGGAGAGGGAGAGAGAGAGAGAAACGTCATGTCAGAGAGACACCCCGACAGGCTGCCTCCTGCATGTGCCCCAACCGGGGCCCAGGCCCGGGAGGAGCCTGCCACCCAGGCGTGTGCCCCTGACCGGAATCGAACCCGGGACCCTTCCGTCCCCAGGCTGATGATGCTCAATCCACGGAGCCAAACGGTCCAGGGGCTCAGCAAAAAAACAAAAAAAAAAACGCATTAAAAAAGAATTACAATAAAAGATAAAAGGACACATTACGTTTTGTGTGTTTTTAAAATATGTATGTATATTATTATTATTATTATTTACAGAGAGGAAGGGAGAGGGAGAGAGAGCTGGAAACATCGACCAGCTGCCTCCTGCACACCCCCCTCTGGGGATGTGCCCGTACCAAGGCACATGCCCTTGACCGGAATCGAACCCGGGACCCTTCTGTCCACAGACTGGGGCTCTATCCACGGATCCACACTGCTCAGGGCTTTTTTATTTTATTTTAAAAAAACACATGTTCTTGGTTCCCTCCCCGCCCCCGGCTGAGGTTCCTGCTGCTGCACTGCTGCCTCCTTCTCTCACGCCCACAGTACATGCCTCACCCCGAGAACAGGGGGAACCCCACCGCCCGCAGCTGCCCCCTCCGCAGGCCCTGCCCCCGCCGGCTCTCCCTGGCTCCCTGGGCTCTGCCCGAGGGACGCTCACCCACCCACCCTCCCACCCACCCACCCACCCGCCGGGCGCGGCTGGCACGGGGCGGGGCCCGCTGGGTGCTCTCTGCACCCTCCCCTCCCCACAGGAGAGACAGCGGGAGGCCCCCGAGCGTCCGTAGGCCTCAGGGAGCTCTGAGGCCCAGGCCTCGGTGGTGGCGTGCCTGCCCGTGTGTGTTTGGAGAAAAGGCAGCAAAAAATAGGTGGTTTTTTTTTTTTAATTTAAAAACGTTTAAAAATATATATATATGAAAAAAAAAATATATATGTCTTTATTGATTTCAGAGAGGAGGGGGGAGGGATAGAGAGAGAGAAACCAAGGATGAGAGAGCATCATGGATCGGCTGCCTCCTGCATGCCCCCTCTTGGGGATCGATCCCACACCCCGGGCCTGTGCCCTTGGCCAGAATCGGACCCGGGACCATTCAGTCCGCAGGCCGACGCTCTATCCACTGAGCCAAACCAGCTAGGGCAAAAAACAACAACAACAACACACACACACACACACAAACAAACCCCTCCCTTCCTTTTTTAAAATTGAGCCCTGGCTGGTGGACGGAAGGGTCCCGGGTTCGATTCCGGTCGAGGGCATGGACCTCGGTGGCTGGCAGGCTGCTCCCGGGCCCGGGCCCTGGTCAGGGGGCGAGTCTCTCTCCGTGGATGTTTCTGTAAGTTCACTATCGGCGGATAGAAGTGCCACGGATTTCTGGGCGTTAATTTTGTATCCTGCTACATTGCCGAATTCATTTTTTCACGTCGATGTTTCTCTCTCTCTCCCTCTCTCTCTCCCGCTCTGTC